GCTAAAACCAATATATGTAAGGCCAATAACATCTATTTTAGGTTTATCATGACCTTAAAGAGGTCCTCACCCAACAAAATAAGGACAACTCGAACACGACCCTCTGCCTAGTGATTGTGTGCAAGTGACACCTAATTCTGCCAAATATGAGAAACCTGTATACACGATCTATTCAGGTCGGTAGCCATGTTCGAGGGTGATCTGGATAGGGGCACAATTGGAATGATTCATAATCGGACAAAGGTTAAACCCCTATCTAGTGGTCGCTCCACACGGACCGTAATATACAGGGGGAAAGAAAGCCATGCATAGAATCCCTTACTTTATTGGTCAGAGAAGCTTCAACCCCCTAAAATGATAACAAAAACATAATAGGAATTTTGGGCATGAAGGATAGAACCGTGTAAGTGACAATTCCTCCTATTTACAATGAGATTCTATTAGGCACCATACGTATATCTCTTCTCACTTGAATGCATTGTCCTTACGAGTTTACGATTAAATTAGACTTGCCAAATGGATATTATTTTCATTGTAAGTTACTAGTAAGTTGCCAACAACTCACTCCAATGGTTCACCTTGCAAAGGAGTGATTGAAAGGAGTAGAGTTGCACTATTAGATTACGTTTTTTTCTTGAGGATAAACTAATGCTGAAGTGCAAGGGATTTGATGACACACAATATATGTATATTTTAGACCTCATTTCTTAGGTGTTTGAATGACATAATCATCATATTTCGGTCATTTTAGGTTAATTTTGTTCAATTTGTAGCTAAATAGTGGCATTCTATGACTTAATTTTGTGAAAATTTTGATTATTTGACTCTTAACTTGCTTGTTGTTATCGCACTATGCTAGTTTTTGTTTTCTCATTGAATTCAAGTCCTAGCATGTTAAAAAAGGTTTGTTGCAAGTTTCCGTACATTCAGGAGTCGTTTGAAGGGTGCAAATTGACAAACGCATTCAATATCACAATCACAATGAGAGAGATCACTATCAAAGCCTATGATCTTTTGTTCACGGCCATGAAAACCTCTTCCCCCTATGACTCTGGTTGCTTAGGGGATGAACTCAGCTTGTAGGTTTGATTTGACATTGTACGTAAATCTGGATTATGAACCTATTATCTATGCCTTTGTTATGATTTTCTTGTTATGATCCAAATTGGATCAATCTACAAGCCAAAATTACTTGTCAAAGAAGTCATCTCAATTCATTTGAAGAATCCTGATTTTTGGCTAAGTGTTTTAACTGTTTCAGGTTGCCTACTTTGGAGGCTTGGTTCTCACAATCGGCTCACTAGAAATTGGAGGTTAAGGGTTTGTTGTGAAGATAAAGTGTCCCTCTGCAAGATGACATGGTTTTTTGATCCAAAATAAATCATTAAGGTTGTTTTCCAAATTCCAAGGTCTCAAAGTTGCTCACTCAAAACAGGAAAACTGCCAGAAAATGGTCAAGTCTGGAAACGTGTTCATGAAGCCTACTTTGGAGCTCAATTCGAGGAGCATGGATCTAATTCGAGTCCAAAGGCTTCCACAACATGAAAATAGGTATGTTTTTCTACAAAGGGATGGAATTGGATGAAAGATTGGAGATCTGGAAGGCCTCGAACGAAGGACACAAAGATCGTCCAAAATCACAAAATTCCGCCTTGTAAAAACATAATTAGTTTTCCTTGTTTAGTTAGGATTTCATTGTTTTAGATAGTTTATGATTCCTTTTCGAGTTGTAACCTAATTAGGAGTTTATGGGATGTGTGTAAACCTAGCTAGGCCTATTTGTGCTTTGGAAAAGAAACCGTTTGGTTTGTTCAAGTTTGCAAACTTGTTTTGGGTTTTGTGGATTCCAAACTTGCTGAGCTTTGTATCGATTGAATAGTCCCTTCAATCGTGGTCGAGCAACTACCCTTTAATCCAATCGAGCATTCCTCAGGTGTGCAATCGTCCTTTTGGTTCCGTTTTATCCAAGTTCATATTAATAATGCTTCGTTCTTGATTCGAGTTCAATCGATCCTTCGATTGAATCATTAGCTGTGCATTCTGAAAAAAAACACCCCCGGGTGTTTATAATTTCTTGTGCTTTGGTTAAGTATTTTGAATTTTTGTTATCGACTTATGAGAGTGAGCATCTAATTAGGTCAAGATTAGACACACTCATGCATAATTTGAGGTTATAATTGCAAGACCGTTGACTTGTACCCTCATTTGAGTAGGGTTAAACACATTAGATGAGTTTAGACATAAAGCTCTAGGTATCTAGTTAGCTATATGACCATTAAGCCAACTTTGCTAAAGAGAATAATGATTAAGTGCATGATCATTGACTTGATTGCTAGTGTAAGTGATTCCTTGCAATAGTTTCGACCATAAGTAACACCCTTCCTTGTAGTTGGTTTTGTTTCTTTCTTGTTAATTAGTTTAATTTATATTCAAACATTTCCACCTTTGTTTAGGTAGATAGTATAGCTTGAGGCGTAGAGTAGTAGTAGACATAAAGACCCCAAGGAACACGACATTGAAGCCACTATACTACACCGTCTAATAAGATGTATTTGACTTGATTAGACATATTAGAGTATATAAGCATCGAGTTTAACTTATAACTTGATTCGATGAGTTAGGGTAATACAAATTTCAAGCACATTATCACACTATACCACCATGGTGGTAAAACATAGTAGCACACGTTTAAAGCACATTATTACAATATAGCACCATGGTGGAACATGATAAACACACGATGATACAAATTAATTAATTAATATATAAACCTAAAACATAGTTACTGTTGCCTAACTTTTACATTATCTTCTAAAATAAATAAAAAACTTATACATTATCTCATTGCCATCTAGAAAGGTAAGCATGTTGAGAGAAGGGAGTTCCACTCTCTCGGCTCCCAAAGGGGAAAAAATGCAGGAAAATGTTTGGGAGACATATAGGCCAACAAAAGGAGCACATGTGGATAGCACAACAATTATGTTTTAGCCTCAGCTATTTGCTCGCAAGATGTTTTGAGTTTAAATACGAACTATTATTTTGGTGTAATGTAATATGTTATATGAAAAGCTGAAGTGCAATTACTATTGCATAAAATATTACTAATTAGTCACTATGTAATATTTTACATTTTGATATCTCAAATTTAGTTATAATATAAACTCATTGAACAATTATGTTTTGGTATCTAAATTTTATGAGATTTTCGTACTTACCATTTTTTAAATTTACATATTGGTCCAATGTTTAGATTTCACTTGAATTCATGAATCCAATCCACCATAACATACAAGTATAAATTTAGTTTGTACCACACAAGATGTTGTATCACTCAACTGCAGGAGAAGATTCGGCATTTAATATTTGTTCATTACGTGAAATATTAAATAAATGATAAAAGAGGGACGACTCCAAAATATTGCACGAGCAAATTTATAAACTCATTTAGTACATATAAGGGATACTAAACAAACTTCTACTAATTACATGTAACAAAATATGCGACATCTACATAAGCAAGTGTCAATAAATTGCTACGGTGAAAAGGGTTGACTGTTGTATTGACGGCTAACTAAAATAATTGGTCAAAACCTTCTCATCATCTAATTCATTTTCGTTTCATTTTTCACTCACCTTCCATAACCCTTTCTTTATTCCTTTCTTTGCCTTATTCGTCTAACCCTAATTAGTATACGATTTTTATGTATTCTAATCACAAGTATGAACGAGTCCATACACGACTGACCAACACTTTAGAGAATTAATAATTTGACAATGAACCACTATCTTTTTCAACTCAATGTCCAGTCCAATTAAAAATAAATATACATGGTTATTACTTATTAGAAAGTCGTCATTTTCCACTCTGGGATTTGAAGGCGTTAAATTTTAAGCGAGTTCCAGTTTGTATTCTTTTTGCTTCTCTCTAGAGTCTTTCTTTTTCACCCAGACTAGAATTTTTAACAATTATAAATGAAATTTTCAACAATAATACATATAAAATAAATAGTTTCCTACTTTCTATAAAAAAATATAAATAATTATCATCTTAAATACATCACCATAAAAGCAATTAAGCCTCAATTATGCAAATTATAGTTTAGTAACTAAACTTAATAGGTCTTTAGATTTATAACCTAGATTTATTTTTTGGGCATATAAGTCCTCAAATATTGATGGAACATACCATTTTAGTACCTAAAATTTTTTGTATTACATTTTAGTATCTAAACTTTTGAAGTTCTACAAATAGGTATAATTTTTATATGTGTAATTAAAACACCCTTGAAAGGAAATATCATACTCTGTCCAAATTCATCTACAAACTTCCAAACTCATATATACGCCCCATCCATATTCTACCCATAATCAATTAGTCTACTTGAGTGTAGGTAAATATCATTTATTAGCCAAAATTTTCAAAATTTTTTAAATTGGATATTGACCATCATATATCTCTTCTCATTCAATATCATATTGTCAAGTCAATATTACTAACAAAACTGCTAACAAAAAATTAATTTTAGACTAATAATACAAACAAAACATCATTACGGACCACATAATACATGCCCATATACCAGCTCCGCCACGCGACAAGACGCGACATCCCCACCTAGTCTAGTTTAAAGTATAACGAAACATCACACCCTTGTTGCTTCAAAACAAAAATTCCAAAACTTCGTGGGACAAAACACGCGTCGAATTAGGTCATGCCAAAACGTCTCAAGGCCAACCGCAAATGCAAATAGGACCAACTTGAAGAACCATTCCAAAGAAGGCATACAAACCAACCAGTTAAAACCCAGTCAACCCTACATACACTTCAGAAAAAATAATTATAACGATAGGGTAAATAATAGAGTGATTCTACTACAATAGCGAACCTGGAAGCTAATCCCCTTCTGAAATAATAGTGATTCTTAAAAACATCAAAATCTGTACTTCCAGCCAACAAAATCGGGAGCAGGGGGAATCCAGCAGCAATCCAGGTTAGTAGATCACTGAATGTGGTTGTGGATCTGACTCTGTCTACTCTTAGATAAAGTTTTGACCATGCCCTTTGCAATCTTCCAAAACCAGAACACGTTCATCATCGTCAACATTGGAGGCACCGTGAGCAAGGTACATAATCCCAAGGGAAATATCGTTTTGACCTGGTAACACAACCAAACCACTCCTGGAACTTAAGACCAGGCCAGGAATCTGACCAAGTATAACAGGAGATGAAGGCGACATGCTCACCTCGTCAAAATGGATATACATGTGGACAAAGAAGTAGATGAACAGCAGAATCCTTGCGACCTGAAAACAAAATCAGCCTTTCGTCAGAAAAGCAAATGCGGATAAAGCCTAGCATGAAGCAGAAAGATCAGTCTTCGTTCAAAAAACTTCTACAATGGAGCATCTTTCTACTTCATGAACTGAATTACTTGGTCAAGCTTTGAGGAAAACAGCGTGTTGTTACTTCATTTACTTAGATGCCATCGGGTCCAAATGTTATGGATCATCAATAATTTAAAAGAAGAAATTGAGCTTATGTTTGTTATCCATTACCGCAAACCTGGAGAAGTAGATGACTGATTGGTCTTACTTGTGCTCTCTTTTCATGCAACATATATATTCCAGAACTTCTTTGCTAATATTACTATTGAAAAACTAGAAACTAAAATGTGGTGGACATGCGAGTTAAGCTTCAATATACATTTAGGAGAAATTACTTGAAAGACCCAAATTTCCTGTGAAATTACTTGAAAGACCCAAATTTTCTGTAGACAGCATATATATTTGAAGCACTTAGTAGCGCCACACTAAGTTGAGGAAACATACCAACCACCCAAAGAACAACATGACTCCATTGTACATGTACAGTTTAGAGTTTTTCTCACCAGCAACATCCAAGTACCTAAAGATTTGCAAATGGCAAGAGCAATAAGAGAGGAACAAGAAATACAGTCAAGATATTCTTCTCAGATAATGACTTACCATCTTAAATTTACAAAGGGAGTTGTGCTCTCAGTGAAAAGGACCATGAGTATATAAATCTGTCCACACCCACTAATGACGGCTAGAAATTGTGAGAAGAGTGACAGCCCGTGATGCAATAGCTTCAAATATCAAAGAATACGCCGTTAATTCACTTTTTTTTAGCACAACAAATCCCCAATTGCCAACTTATTGACTCCCACACAGCTGTATGCCCAGTATAGATCCACAATAGTCTAAGAAAAAAGAAACTGTAGTATTATGATTCTTAGTTGGAAGCAACGCATGTTTCTGTGTTTATGTCTAAACTAGCTTCATAAACAGGTTAAAGTGAGCATGCAACAGTAGGTGAGTCTGTTACTTCTTCTCCAAGTTTTGCATCCAATTTACTGAATTATATAACAGCACCAGATAAAAAATGTATTCAGCATAGTAAAGGAACTTCCACTTACATACTCCAGTCCACCCAGAACTGGGTAAAACCAAAGGATCATTGCAAGGTCTGTCAGAAAATAGCCAATGGAGATCTGCATAAAGTGTCAAGGACAAATAACAAAGAGTAAAATTAGACAATGCACATGAGATACTAAGAGACCTCAAATTTCCCCACATTAGCCAATTTAGCAGCTAGCTACCCTGTTTGTAAAGGACGGACCCAATGACAGGAAACAGAGATATTATTTAGTTTGTATTACTAAAACTTAAATCTTTAACACTGCAAAATGCCAATCAACTTGAGAGCTGACTCCTTCACATCCTACAACCTCCATCACAATATAAATGTACAAGAAAGCGATCCCAGTTACCGAACATTTCATTTGAAAAGGGAAGGATGCCAAAACCTTAACCAGAAGAATAACTCCAATGTAAATCCCATTTTGGAAAAATTCCATACTGAGTACAATATAATTACTCAGGGACTACTACAATATACACTGACAGAACAGAAGGCGTTTATGTAGGGTTGACTTAACAGTAACGGTTTATTAACAACAGCAAGGAAAAGAGCTAGCTGCACAGAACAGTATGCAGCACACTTCATGGATTAATAAGCTGATGATTTGAGACGAGTATGAAAGCACATATTATTGTCTGCAGGAATGAAACAACAGAATGCAGGTATGTAGCAGAAAAAACACTTAATGCAACTCCATTATACAAAAACAAGCTCATCCGGCAAAAACTAATGCTGAATCTGCGAACTCAACAAATATGTATATAATAAGTCAGAACAAGAGCTCAGAAGCAAGAAAAGGAGAAGTAATGCCTCTTCCTGAACCAGCTTACCCCTAATACAGAATTTGATAGAAAAGAGTAGTTGTTGATTATCAGACCATCTTGAGGATCTTCCTTAAAGAGATCGGAATATAATAACAGGTAGAGAGACAAAGATGCAGCAAATAGGGCATGGAACGTTGAGAATCCCCTGTAGGACAGAACCAAAAATAAGGTCATTATTCCATGGGACCTCGACTACAGTTGGAAGCAAGACATTCTAAATGAGAAAAACACGAGTGTTTTGCATAATTGTTCTACCTGTTGTTCCATTCCATTTTCTGTTTATAGCTGAGTTTGTCGTAGCCTTTAAAACACAAAACACTAACATAACCTGTCAGAATATAAACCTGCGAAAACCAAATGTTGAAACAGTTTGAGAAGTGTTTTCCACCTCGATGAACCAAGTGTATAGAAGAGCTCTCTATACGGATGAACAACCGGTACATAGAGAATCATACAAACAAAAGCGACCAACTTCAGTAACTTGAGTAGAGACGAAGAGAAGAGAAAAAACAATTTCATTTCACACCCAGTTTGTTGAGAAGACCCATGTTGCACTAGGCGGGCTAAATTCACCCATGCCAACACACTCTCTAGTATATGTATATAAAATAAAATAAACAAAGGTAAGAAAAAGAAAAGCCAGTTTGAGCATAGATAAACTTACAGCTCTGCACATAATAATACCCACAAAGGCAGAAGCCAGCAGATGGGATGTGGCATTGTCAACCACGGGAATGAGAGGCAAACCCAATTCCATCATCTCAGCTCTTAGCTAATCTGAAACGCGAAATTGTTTCTCCTGAATGGTACAGGCAAGGTAAATGTGCAAATTGTTAACAGAGCAGTGATGCACAGACAATTAAGCAGCGAGGGTTAAATTCAACAGTGTAGAAGAAGCAACAGGATGGAGTGAGATTATGCAAGAGTTTGGTGCATCTCAGCACAGGCTTGTGGGTTTTGAAGATAACGAGTTTGAGAGCGACATGTAACGGTTTATTAACAACATCAAGGAAAAGAGTTAGCTGCACATGGTGGAGAATCAACCAAGAAAAAAGACATCCAGCGTAGAAGGAGCGGGCGGTGGGCCAAAATTCAAACAAGAAGCAGAGTAATAATACCTGGAGCAGAAGCAAGGAAATTGAGAAGAAGGGTTAAGGAAGATAACCCACCAAAAGATGAAAAAGAAAAGGATGGAAAGAGTGTAATTAGAGAAGTGTAACTTACAACAATACGTGAAAGGAAACCGTGTTGAGGTCTTGGGGAGATGGGGGGGAATTAATGATGCTCACCAGAAAACGCTGACATGAATTTGCTGGGAGGTTCAGCTGCTCGTCGGTGCTTGGCTGGCCGTCCCCATCCTAATTTACCACTCTGTCTCCGATAATTCCAGTCTCCAGTCTTCTGGCCCGCTTCTCTCTCTTCTTTGGCTGCTTTCTTTTTATACTTTCGCTGCTTTGCTTGGAGAGCTTGTAAACCACTCAACTCCAGAAACTATTTTGCTTTTCTTTATTTAAAAAGAAATTACTAGATTTTAGGATGCTAATAGTCAATTTGCTAGTATGGGTAGTGTGGAGAATTTGAAAATGGAGGTTTTAGATTTTAAAAATCTTTGGATGGATTTGTTGCATTATGAATTTGGAAGAGGGTATTGTTTGCTTAGTTAATTTTATCATGGATGTGTCTCACAACTTTGCCTTTCATTATCAAATTCCAAATGAAATGTGGGATTTGCAAATCCATGGAGTCCACGGATTTTAATATAAAAAATGGTCTAAATCCGTCGACCCTACAGATTTGTGTTCCTTAGCAAATAATGGATTTGTTTTTTAGATGATGGTGAAATTATATAAGAAGACAAAGAAAACAACAAGTGTACAGGAGCCAAAGATCAAAAGGATTGATCTTGGAAGGAAACCCGAAACAAGAAACAAAAGGGAAACAAGGGGAAAAGGAAACAGTACACCACAAAAATCAAAAGTGTAAGGAGGAAAAGGCCTCCCCTGCAGTCGTATTGTTGTGCGTCAATTGGCGCATGAACTATACGAGTTCACTCTACCTTCTGAGGCAGCAAAAACTTGGGTTCTCCAGCGAACCCCTTGGATCATTGCGGACAGGATCCTCCACTTACAGGCGTGGATTCCGGCAATCTCTCATCGCACTTTTGAGGAGCTTTCCATTGCCCCGTTCAGGGTCCAACTTTGGGATATTCAGGACGAATGCTGTACCCACCAGTTCGGCCGCAAAATTGCAAACTCCTCACTTGGCTGTGTCCTGGAAGCTGGAGTATTCTCGTGTAAGGATACAGCGCGAAAATTTATCAAGGTGAAGGTCCTGGTTGATTTTTCCCAACCCCTGCGATCCCAAATCATGGCGAGGAATGAGGAGACTGGTGGCTTCTGGATTCGTTTTAAATATGAATACCTCCCAAGTTTTTGCTTTAACTACGGTCGTGTGGGACATGCTCGCCAAAGCTGCATCTTTGATCCTCCGTCAAGAAAAGAGCGGTTTGGCCCCCATATGTCGACTAAAAATATGGGGAGGAAAATCTTTGATGATGACGGGTCTTCTCAGCAATCTCGCAGACACCCAAATTCGGTCTGGGTCAATACGACCGCTCGTGGGGAGTAGGCGACTATGGCTGGTGAGGACTGTGGTACGCGCCAGCAGGGGGATGTAGCTCCGGCTCTGAGCAGGCCACGCGCCGTCGCAAACAGTCCTCTATGGATGGGTACCTCGGCGAGACCTTTTCTTACTACTGAAGTTCAAGATCGGCCTGGAAGAAGCCCATTGAAATTCCCGGTTGCTAAGGCCCCCAAAATTTTCGTGGGAAGACCAACCCGCCGCGGCAAGACAAGAAAAGGGAGGGCTACCAGCCCAATGGAGATTGATGGCGGAAGGAATGAGCCCCGTGCTCACCTGTCGAACGAACCGGTCCAAGAATCTGGCGGAGGCCAAACCGACTCGGATTGCTCGGAAGCTGGGTAGCCGGCCAGTGGGAGAGCCCAGCTCTTTGAGGGCGCCGGTCAATGATGAAGCAGGGATGCCAAGGCGCCGACGCCTGCTCTTGGAGGAGGAGTCGGAAGAGGAGTTCATGGTTAGCGACCTCCCCTCGTCAGTGCAATTGAGGGCTGCGATAAAGGAGGACTGCCCGTCCTTGAAAAGCCAGCCGGTGGTAGAGGCAGTGTCGTTGAGGCAACTTGCTCCAGACCCAGACTGCATGCTTGAATTGCAAAATTATCTCAAGGAGAAACAGTCCAAGTGCTGGGCGGCTGACTCATGGCGAGTAGTGACTGGGAAGGGGAAAAATATTCCGCCATCATATTCTGTTAATATGGAAACAAATTCTGGGATGAAGGAGCCGGATCCTGTGGTGAACTCATCCCCTCAACAAATTCTGGGATCTACTAAAGCTCTCGATATCAATGAATATGGGACCAACGTTTCGGCCCAAGAGTTGGGGAATAAGAAATGGCATCTTGATGACCTTGATGGTGAGGTTGCAGAAACCCCAACTCCAAAGAAACAATTCGTGGAAGACAAAGATGAAGCTGAGAAGGTGGAGGAAGCCAGCCTGGAGTGGCCCCACCCAGATAAATGAGGCTATTGGCCTGGAATGTGAGAGGCATTGGACCATCCCGCACATTCCAAACTGCTGTCGGTTTAGTTCATTCAAATAAATAGGATCTCGTGTTTTTCTCTGAAACACGATCGAGACGGAGAGTAGTTTCCCGTCGTATGCGGGGATTAGGTTTTCTTTCTTCTTGTTGTTTCTTTGTTGATGCGGTTGATGCATCTGGTGTCTTGGTTGTGTCTTGGTCCCTCGAAGTTAATGCTTCGGTGTTTTATCATTCGAATTTTTGTATTTGCGTTTGAGTTAATGAAATAAATTTTTTGTATGTGGTGGTTTTTGTCTACAATAGTTGTCATGCGGCAATAAGATCTACTCAGCTGGATCAGCTCCAGTAAATGTGTAATGGCATCCCTGGGCCTTTTGTTATCATTGGTGATTTCAATACCACTCTGCATGAGAGTGAGAAGGATGGGGGTAACCAATGGAACGCAATGAAATCCCTTAGCCTCCGTAACTTTGTTCATAATCTAGGTCTCATTGACCAGGGGTATCAGGGTGATCCTTTCACTTGGACAAACAAACAAATGGGGGCGGCATGTATTCGGGAGAGGCTGGATAGGGCATTGTGCTCCCAATCTTGGCTGGATAGCTTCCCTGAGACTCTGATTAAACACTTTACGGATCAGGGGTCGGACCACCGGGCGCTTGTCTTATCAGATAAACCCTATGTCCGCAATAGCCGGCCCCTATTCCGGTTTGACGCTTGTTGGGCTAAGAACCCAGAGGTCAGAGCCATGGTCACTAGGGATCGCCGAAGAAGGAACTTCGTGGCAGGGCTCCAGAATGAGGCTGGCGAGTGGATTACTGATGAGAAAGGGAAGACGACTGTTGCGATTGACTTCTATCGCCACCTCTTCACGTCTGAATCTCAAGTCTAGAATATGAGAGAGCGGGTAGCTGCCCTGCCCATAGCCCAGAGTGTTACTCCGACAATGAATGAAGGCCTAACGGCTGAAGTTCTCCCGGAGGAAGTGCGTAAGACTGTGTTTGCCATGGGATCGAAACAAGCTCCGGGTTCGGATGGGTTTACTGGAAATTTTTTCAAAGCCTTCTGAGAAATTGTGGGACCATCAGCGATTGACGCAGTCTGCTCATTTTTCCGATCGAGTCGGATAATCCGTAGTTTCAATCATACCTGGCTCACCTTAATTCTGAAAGTAGATAATGTTGAATCGGTGAGGCAACTGCGACCAATCAGTCTATGCCAATTTGTCTACAAAATTATAACCAAAATTTTGGCTGAGAGGCTGTCTTGCGTCTTACTGAGCATTGTTTCTGAAGGTCAAAATGCATTTATTCGGAAGAGACAAATTGTGGAGAATATCCTCCTAGGACATGAGCTTATGCACTACTTAAAAATCAAAACCCGTGGGAAGAAAGGGTACATGGCTCTAAAGGTTGACATGGAAAAGGCCTATGATAGAGTCGAATGGCCTTTTCTCCTCACGGTTTTGGACAAGTTGGGTTTTAACTCTGTCTGGATAGGGTGGATACAGGAATACCTCAGATCTGCGTCATTTTTAGTCATGATGAATGGCACGCCGTCAGGCTATTTTACTCCCTCCAGGGGACTCCGCCAGAGGGATCCTCTCTCTCCTATGTTGTTTGTCCTATGTACTTAAGGATTTGCGGCCCTCCTACGAAAGGCAATATCAGAGAAGAAGCTGGAGGGGGTTAAGGTCGCCCCTCAGGCTCCACGAATCACGCACCTATTCTTTGTCGATGACTCGTATCTATTCCTTCATGGTACGCTCCAAGAATGTGAAAATTTAATGGATGTGTTGAACGAGTATGAGGAACTGAGCGGGCAAAGAGTAAATTTAGTGAAATCAGCGGTATGCTTCAGTAAGAATGTTGCTCTGCCAGATCAGGAGTTCTCGACTGCGATTATGGGGGTTGGGGCTGTGGGGGTCCACGATAAATATCTGGGTCTCCCGAACCTGATTGCTCGATCTAATATGGAAACATTCCGGTATTTGGAAGAAAAATTGTTGGAGCATCTCCAAGGATGGAAACATAGGACTCTCTCTTGGGCAGCAAAGGAAACTCTGATAAAATCAATAGCCTTGGCATTACCTCTGCATGTGATGTCCTGCTTCAATCTGCCGCTGTCTCTGTGCCGCCTTCTGGATAAGTACATTGCGTGCTTTTGGTGGGGGGGGGGGGGGGGGGGGGGGGAGGGGGAATGAGAACAACTCTAAGGTGAGGTGGATGTCCTGGCGTGATCTGTGTAGAAGTAAGCATGAGGGGGGATGGGATTTTGCTGGTTTGATCATTTTAATCAGACCCTCTTAGCTAAGGTTGGATGGCGCATCCTCTGTGAGCCTTCATGGGGCTGGCAGAGTATCCTGTTTGGATGGCGGCTGTTAGAGATGGGATTGCATTGGCAAATTGGAAATGGTTGCTCAGCGTCCATGCTTCACTCTACTTGGGTTCCTCAAAATCAGTTTGAGCCCCTTAGATATAGTCCTCTGGTTTTACCGGCGGGGGGTGACCCTCTGGTCTCTGAGCTGATTTGTCCGGGGGAGGGACGTTGGTGTGACCTGAAGCTTTGCCAATGTTTTGACCCAACTACTTGTCGCAATATAAAAGCCATTCCACTCCCGAGGGAGAATGTGGAGGGCAGACTCGTTTCGCATGATACAATTTATGGTGACTTCTCAGTTAAATCGGCTTACCACTTGGCTGTCTCCCTTGATCAGAGAAGAGGAAAATGAAAGCGACGGTTGGCTGGATGGACCGGATGAGCTGGATGCGACTTTGGAATGCAAATATTCCTCCGAAATTGAAAGTGTTTATTTGGAAGGTGTTTAATCGGATCCTCCTCACTACGGAAGCCCTAATTCATAGAAAAATCCTGGTTCATCCGCATTGTCCGGTTTGTTGGGATAGTTCCGAAACGATGTAACATCTGTTCCTGGACTGCCCGGTGGCGCGAGCCCTTTGGGGGGCGGCAGGGCTGGAACATTTAGGGGAGGGTTTACCCCATCACACTTTTCCACTCTTCCTCAAAAAATTGTTGGCTTTAATTGATCATCATACGCTGTTCCTAGTAGTAGTGACCATACTCTGGCGCATATGGAGATCTCGTAACTGGGTGGTTTTTGAAGGCAAACAGTATGGGATCACTGCTTTGATGGGCCAGTTTACCTAGCAGTATGAGGAATGGGTGAGGCTCCCGGTGGATATGCCTCTTCAAGCCCGTGTCCCTACAGCTCACCAGTCTGTCCAGGAGGATTCATCTGGGGTCATCTGTAGTTGGGATAGGGCTACTCGGAGGGGATCACACTCAGCGAGTGGAGTGGTGCTTATGTCTCAGAGCCGGGGTGTCCTTTGGGCGGCGGGGATCCAATTCCCGATCATTGATGACCCTCTCATAGTGGAATTGCTTTTCCTCCGAGAGGCGATTCTTTGGTGTCTGGGTCAAGGCCTAACGAGCATGAGGTTTGAAGGGGATGCCAAGGTGATCATCGATAAAATCAGGCAGGCTGATACAAGAGACAATAGGGTGGGTGCTGTGCTGGAGGAAGTGACGCAGTATTTTGCCAGCAACCCTGGGTTTAGTGTTCGATTTATAGGCCGGAGTAGCAATAGGGTAGCCCACTTGGTGGCTAGAAAGGCCCTCTCTCTGTACCCGGCTATGAGTCGTTTCTTTGACTTTCAGGCTTGGCTGTTATCCAGGGTGTAACTGTCTATCTTTTTTTTTTATCTAATACAAGATTATCTTTTGTAAAAAAAAAGGGCATCCCCTGCACAAAAACTACTGCAAAAAAGCTAACACAATAATAAAAAAAGGCATAAAAGGACCAAACGGATGAGTCGTCAACCGCCCAATGAATTTGTGTCAAGTTCTTGATGTTTGGGATTTGGGTGCCAAATTCATCACTCAAATCCCACAAGCAAACGATACCTAATTTCAGGGAATATGAATATTTTGTTTTATGATTTGCAAATATTCATAATCGAATTGGCTAGTATGGTCATGGTGCTAATAATTCCTCTATATGGAGATGAAACCTCCAAAGTCAACCAGATTATTTTTTCATTTTGTCTGGAGATAGAGTCGGTGGTTTTAGAGGAGGAAAGAGAGACGATGTCGACATTTTTTCGGCGCCGACAATGACTTTGTAGTGTTTTTTGGTCTAAGTTGTATTGTTTGTAAATATGGTTTGTATAGTTTGTATGGTTGATAGTTTGTATGTTTTTGTATTATTTGTAAATCTGGTTTGTATAGGTTGTATGGTTTGTACAATTTTATCATCTGGTTTGTATAATTATTTTGCATATTTTTATGGTTTGTTTTGTATACCTTATAATATTAGTTTTTATATTTTTCATGAAATGATATATACATTTTTGTATTATGGTTTGTATACCATCTATTATTTGTTTGTACACTTTTCTTTTATGGTCTGTATATTTTGTATTTATAGTTTGTATATTTTTGTGTTCTGCAAGATGATACTTTTAGTATGTGTCTAGTTAATAATATAAATAAAAAAGAAAAAAAGAATGGTAAGAAAGTGAGGGGGAGCTGAAAAGTAATAGGGGGAAAGAAAAACAAAATAATTAAATTTTTTAATCAAATCCATTTTTCATATACCAAGTTATTCCTATCACTAATGAAACCTCTTCTAATTTTTAATGGCTAGATTTGTATGTCTAGATCTAACGGTTATGAGGAGCTTAGTAAAGGGGACTAGATACTATGACAACACTCCTTGTGTTGTTATTATAATAACACTAGTCTCCAATCAATAGGAAGCTAGGGTTGTGATGACTTTTTATTGGATGAGTTGACCTAGTGTAAAATCAAAGCAGGGGTATAATTGTCATCATGAAAAATATGTTTAAATAATAATAAAAAAATAAAAACATATTTTTTATTTTTGGACCAAAATTTTGGTCGCCTGTTCTACCACAGGTCGCCGGAAAATGGTCGTCAGTCACCGGAATATGCTTTTTTGTCGACGAAATATGCTATTTTGTCATCGGAATATGCCACCGTCGCCGGAATATGCTCACCGCGGTCGGAATATGCTTACCGGCGTCGGAATCTAGTCATCGGGGCCGGAATATGCCTTTCGGTGTCGGAATCTGCTGACTGACGGTCACCGGAGTTCGGTCAACGGTCTTTGTTGACCGGTCAACGGTCAACGACCACCGGATGTATGGTCTACATTGTGAGATTTATGGTTTGGTTTCTCATATTTTTTTATGCCTTTTGTGGTTTGCTTTATCGTGTTTGTGGGTTGCATTGAGAAGTTTCTGGTTTGCTTTCAAAAACTTTGTGGTTTGCATTGTGAGGTTTCTGGTTTGTTTTAATCTATTTGTGGTTTGCATTAGGACGTTTATGGTTTGCTTTTTTGTGTTTTGATTTACTGTGTTTGTGGTTTGCATTAGGAGGTTTCTGGTGTGCTTTCGCAAATGTTGTGGTTTGCATTGTGGGGTTTCTAGTTTGTTTTAGGAGATTTGTGGTATGCATTAGGAGGTTTCTGGTTTGCATTAAGAAGTTTCTGGTGTGCTTTCGAAACTTTTGTGGTTTGCTTTGCGAGTTTCTGATTTGTTTTAATATATTTGTGGTCTGCATTAGGACGTTTTTTGTTTGCTTTACCGTGTTTGTGGTTTGCATTAGGGGGTTTCTGGTGTGCTTTTCAAAATATTTATGGTTTGTTTTGTGGGGTTTCTGATATGTTTTAACGAAATTATGGTTTGCATTAGGAGGTTTACTGTATGTTTTTTGTGGGTTGTTTTATTGCGTTTGTGGTTTGCACTAGAGGGTTTTTGGTGTTAGAAATATTTGTGATTAGAATTACCAAAAACCAATATAAATTACCTAGCTTCTTGTTGTTGGTGATTAGGTTAGACTAAAAAACGAATGCCAGAAAATTCTAAGGCACACTGTTCCTATTTTGCGCGCCATGTTCTTCTTCTTCTCCAAATGTCGAGGGACTCAGTTTCGAAATGCTCCCATCAAAACGCGACATATGAAATGGAATTCTGCAAATCCTTACTCCATGTTCATGTAAAATTTGGATCAAGTAACTGTTCATGTTAAACTGTTAAACAGTAGTGCTTGGACCATTGTCTTGTCGGTATGTCTTTTTAAGTTCGAATGAAGAGAGAATCCATCAAAACTGTAGCAGGGAGTTTTGTTTTGGTACTGATCCATGATGTTTGTGTGTTCCTGAATTGATTATGCACTTACTTAAGGAAACTCCGGATACCACATCCTGGGAAATTTTGGTGGGAGATTGATTCTGCACATATTTGCTTATGTAAGTACAGGAATGAAATTGTCCACACAAAGTGACAAAAATGGGGACGAAAAAAGGCCTAAGCATTTTCGAGGAGACCAAAGTTTTGGGAGTGCACATGGTAACCATTGACAAACTCGAGTCAACTTGTCCAATTTTTCCTCCTTCTTCCTCAAATAATGCAATCGAGATGCCGGGGGGGGGGGGGGATCATGGAAAGTCCACTATTAGCGGTGGGGTTCAGATCAGCGGCGGCTGCAGTGGGGCCCCTTCGGCTCGGTCCACGCCGAGAACGGCAACGACAATGGCTACGACGTAGCTGACGAAGGCATCTTCACTTTTGATGGTCCCGTGCTGCCTCCGCCGACTGAGATGCAGGAGGAAGGTGCTGCTCTTTGCCTATTTCTCTTTCTTTCCGTCCCCGTCTAAATAGTAAATACCTCTTGGTCGGTCGTTTACTGTAACAAGCTGAATCAGAAGCTTGAAGCTCCAAGAATTTGTAGACTACGATCCAGGCGGTATTTTATTCTACACCGGTGAGGTGATTGATTGTCGAGATCTACACGTATTTATTATTTTCGGGGATCGTTGGTCGGCGGTTGAGATCTTCTCAATTCAAGCGAATGGCGGAGGACAAGTACAATCTGAAGAACCCCGCCGTGAAGCGGATCCTGGAAGAGGTGAAGGAGATGCAATCGAATCCCTCTAAAGATGGATTAAATAGATTTTATTTTATTTTATTTTTATGTTAAATTACCCTATTACCCTTAATGAATCCTGTTGTTACCGTAACAATAAAGGAGCTGTTGTTATAGTATCTGCTCCCTTAGTAAAGTGGCTATGGATCCACTTGGTCTCCATATCTCGACTTCCATAAAGCTAATAAAGCATACTACAACCTTAACATAACACAAAATTCATAAAGCATGCCAGAAACTTCACGCATACCACAAGTTCTCTGAAACATATCAGAAATCTCATAAAGTTGATATCACAAGTCCCCTGAAGTAGACTTATTTACAAAACTATTCACTAAAAATAAATAAATTCAAAATATAACCACCTTTTGGGCGATCACGCTAAAATTTGGGCACCTTTGAGCAATACAAATTTCAAAACAATCATTTAAACCTTTTCCTTTTACAAAACACTGCTCAAATTTCAACAAAACAACTCATGTTCTGTTTAAGGCTCTAGTACCAACTATTGTGAGTCAGCTCCTAACCAGAAACTACCCGGGGATCTTTTATGAAGTAAAAGATTTATTACGTTCACGTCGATTTTTATTCAACCTCTTAAATTCAGATGTAATTCGAGAACTAGCAGCAAATCCTAGAGTGGATTTACTCTTAAGATAATGTCTTCAAATTCACTCTATCTAAGAATCAGTTCTTCCAAATTATTGGAAAACTTGTTTACCTTACTAATTAAGGATGACCGACAATCTATGATGTTGTTAAAAAGTCTGGTAGCAGGATCATTACCAGTTCGATGTTCTAGATGAAAACAATCTGGATACTGGCAATCTTTACTCATATAAAAATATATTAAAATAAGATGTAAACTCAAATAGTATGGACACTAGATGAGTTTAGTATCATATACCTGGTCAATTAACAAGGCCTACTAAGCTTCCGCCTTTGATCTTTTCTTGCTCGTCACCAGCTTTACCTAGGATTGGGTTCAGGTTCTTTTGTGTATTCGAGTTGCCTCTTTAGTTTGTTTGAGGTCTTACTATGAAAACACTACTCTTTATCAGACCGCTAAGAAAAGCATACAAGTATATTAAGAGATAGAAGGTGCTTGAGGTAGTTTGAAGAAAACTCAGTAGGTTTATATAGAAATCACAATAGAGGGGACTATTATACAATACTCTCCTCTCAACCTTATACTGATTCTCTCTCTTTTTCTCTTTCTAAGACTCCCTTCTAAAACTCTTGCAATGAAGACTCACAAGGTAGCTATATATAAAGTTGGTGCCAGCTCATTAGGACAGTTGGTGTGTCTGGTACTATTTCCCAACTCAAAACACACTACACTCACATTATTTAGATTCCTTTGGTCGGATACAAAGGACACACTGAGTGCTACATATTATGTTGTGGGGACGATCATCACATGGTGTCGTCCATTAGTGTATGACCTCTTTTGGACAGATGCTCTTCAATAATTTTTGTGGTCTTTCTCCACTCTGCAATTGAGTCTGGGTGGATATCAAGATTAGAATCTCTATCCCAAATCCCCAGTAAGAGATCAATTGTTTCGTCTTTTCCATTATTTTTTTTATCACATCACGGTCCATATAGAAAATATCTTTGGTTTGAAAAACCACAAAGGCTTTACCTGACTTAAGGACCACTAAATCATTTGTTTTCGCTATGATTATTTATGCACAAGCCTTGAAGAAATCTTCAAAATTTTCTCCATTGTATACTAATTTTTATGCTCTTCATATTTTGCTTGGATCTCATGGT